ATTTCAAAACTTCCTTCTGACTCTCTAGAAGTTACCCAGAGTTCTGTGTGTGTTTTTTTTTCTCTTTCTTAACAAGTGCTGAACAAGTCCTGCCTTCTAACTTGTACTACTATCAAATTTCCTTTTCTTCCATTCTTATATAAATTCACTATTTTTTTTTAATTCTGTTTCCATTTTTCCTATGAGTCAGGGTTTTATTTTGTTTGTTTAGGTATTTTTGTTTTTGTTTTTAAACCAATGTGGCCTTGGCTCTCAATTGTGGCTTTTGGGGCATTTGGTAATATATTCCTAAGCAGCTCCCAATTATCGTTCACATTTTTCTGTTCAAAAGTTTTCTCCCAAAAGATTTAGCTCTTAATTGTTTTCAGATTTATGAAATTGCTCTTTCAAAGTACAAAGGAGGGGGGAGGAGGTGTTGAATATATATATTTTTTACAGTTTTTGCTAGTTTGAACACTGTCTTTCATATACCTAATGTAATATTGATGAAGATGCATAGCTAAACATCAGCTACAATAGTAACAGTAGGTTTCAGTTTCCCTTTTGCCTATCAAGGTAAAGTGCAGTAGAGGGCTCAATGTTCTGGAAATAAAATTTTCATAATTAACAAATAGGGAAAAAACAAAAACAAAAAACAAAAACCACTACCTTCACAGTGTTGAAAATAGCCATTTAAGTCATTTAAAGATCCAGTCATCATGTTCAGTCCTATGACTTAGTGGTGCAATATTCTTACTCAAAGAAGACCAAAATTAAAAGCAGGGTTTGATTTGTGACTTGTTACCAGATAAATAGGTAGATACTCTTACTGCAAGACTGGACAGATATTTTCAAGAGACACACTCACCACTGCACTTCAGATATCCCTTTTTTCTGAAATGTTCCTGAGGTATCTTGACTTTTGCTGAATGCTTGGTGAAAAGTCAGCCAGGCTTTATAACAGAACAACCAATCTCTTTTAAGAGCTGGGGAGAATGGGTCTTGAGAGAGCAACAGTAAATCATTTTATATATCCAAAACCAATGAAGTGTATACATTGAAAAGAAAAACACAATAAAAATTTGATTTTCATATACATGTACACTACATCTGATCAGCAGGTCAACAGTCAGGCTGTTTCATCAGGATGAGTTGTCTGATATTTCACTTTGTTCAAAAGAATTACAACTGGGCAACAACTTTTTTATAGAAACCATCCAGTCCCAAACTTCTAAATCAATTATTTGGTAACATGGTGAAAAATAAGGAACATAGACAAAGCAAAACATTCTTCTTTGTGTTCATGGTCAGAGTTAAATACATGTACATTAGAAACTGATATCCATGGCTGACCCTCTGGAGCAGTACAAGCAGAGAAATTTCTCCCAAGTGTTACATAATTCAATTATGGGCTTTGTTTAATGATTCAGAGCACACTTTAGATCATTTTTCCAATGAGCTCCTTAACTAAATAATCACTATTCTCTTCTTAACAGGATTAAAAGATATGCAGTAACTCACATGAATTACAAGAGAATTAGTTGAAGTAATCACTTGAAGAGATCCAGCGTGGAATAGGCAAAAGTAATTTGTGTGCCAGGATCAATTTCCTCATTATTGTAAGGAAGGAGGTGCTTCTGAAACTAATGACGCTGAATTGAAATACAGTCAAGATTATCCTGCCAAACTGTTATTAAATTAGTTTGAAAGGGTGCAGGATGGTCACTTATAGGAGACATGCCAAAGCAAGTAAACTTCAGGTTTGCTGACGTATCAAAGAATGGTTGCAGGCAACATTTAGGTGTATGGTATGGATTCCTCCTTTGGTATAATCAATGACTTGTCTCAACAGTGGTTTGTTTTGTCGACACCGGTCAGCAGTAACATTCATTAGGGAACCTGAGCAGCTGAGGGAGGGAGAACATCTCTTTAAAGTATAGGCATGGAGATATTTATTCTTCAGTGGCAAATGCTTTGACACAGCAACAACTCTTTGCTGAATGTTCCTAGTCCAGGGCTATTTCAACAGTTAGAGCAGGTATTCTGGTAAGTCACTTCCACTTTGTGTGCCAGAGGAAAGGCATAAATTTTTTCAAATTAGTCCTCAGTTTACTTGCCATAATAAGAGGTGAATGATTTTAGTAGGTAAGCAGAAATGTTAAAATATTTTTTTACTCAGTTTGGTGTCTGACAAGGAGAATAAAACAGTGTAGCATGGTCAGAAATAAAAATGTTGTTCTCGAAAAAAAAAAGACTTTTACAAAGAGGGCATCACTGACTGAAAGTTATGTTTTGTTTAGAGAGAGAATTTCCTTCCAAGTATTTGTAGTAAGAGACAAAGAAAGAAAATCTAGATTTAAGAATAATCAGAGGTTCCTCTAATAACTTAACAAATAAATTTATCCCTACACATATAAAGAATTTGGTCCCATTTATTAAAGAATTTTAAATCTACATCACCTAGTCCCTTAAAAAAGGTTTGAATAGCCAAGCTGTAGACTGGTATTAAAGAGCATTTGCTCATTCTCTCTTCACTTTTCCTCACTTCATATTAAAACTTGAAGTAATAATTAGAAATAATCACAGATTGGAAGTCTGTTTTCCCATTTCCCCAGGTGACGGACTTAATTTGTATGCTGATAAGTCGCTTTTCTGTGGTTCAATAAGTACTTAGATTACTTGCACAAAGCAAAATACCTCCTATAGAAGAGCACAGCCTGTATCAGGATACCTTGGAGGAAATCACTAGAGCATTCCTCTGAGTGCCGATTGTCCCTTTTGCATGTGCAATGTTAAAATGCTTTTGAATTGAAAACTGTTTAGGATCTAAATCACCCATTTTCTGTTCTCTGACTTTTGGCTATTAGTCAAAAGACTGCTTAAACTCAATAAGATAAAATGAACCTCAGCCAAACTGAAAATAGAAGAAAGATTTGAAGAAGTATCAGTGGGGAAAAAAATACAGTAAGATGTTTGAAACCATTTGATTAATGACACTTCAAACACTCAGACTAAAATCAGAAGTAAAAATCCCTTTTTAAATTAAAAGTCCTACTTAGAAAATGCTTCTCTTGGGAAAAAAAAAAAAAAAAAGGTAACATTATAAAACTGTTCACTTTTACTTTTTATTTCCTTTAGCTGTAGGTTTTTGTTTGTTTGTTTGTTTGTTTGTTTTGGTTTTGTGAATAAAAAGCACTATCAAAAGGTATTAAAGTTTTCCTGTTCATGGAAAAATAAAATAAAATAAAATAAAATAAAATAAAATAAAATAAAATAAAATAAAATAAAATAAAATAAAATAAAATAAAATGAATTCTTAACTTCACTGAAGTGAATGGCAAAACTGTTTGTAACCATTGTAGTACAGGAATGTCATCCATGCTTTTCAGAAGGAACATTTGAAAAAAAATGTTCATCTTTTTTCATTCATTTGTTTCATTCAGAAGGAACAGATTGAAAAAAAAATAAAATGAAGAGATCCTGATAGATTGTGCCAGTTTTGCTTCTAATTCAAAATTGTCTCTAGTGTAAATTTGAAGTTGACATGTATGGAGTAATAATGATTAGGAGAAAATAGAGAGCAAATGCCCATCTAATTTCATTCTCATTTTGTATTGTTATGAGTCAGCTGGCTCTCAAAGAAATTAGGCAGTGGGAGAGATTTAAGAGAAGTTATCTGAATGACAGCAGTTTCCCAGATTAAAGAGGAAAATCCATTTTGTTTACAAAAGCTCAGCTGTTTCAAAGTGGCAGAATGTATCTGCAAGAAGAAGCACCTATGGTGAATACAGTTAGGAGACAGTATGTATTTCAGTTGCTCTGCAACTGAAAAAGCCTCCCATCTAAATGGATAAGACAGACAGGAGCTCTCTTTCCTGTGCTGGTAATGGGCACAGACAGCACTGCAGAGCAGAGCAGAGTTGCCCCTTCCCTGTGCTAGTGACAGCAGTGATGCTGCTGATGAAGATGAGATTTCTTTGGATGTACCCAGTATCCAAAAAGCAAATAGGAAGGGACAGCATCAGTGAGTTTTTTTAAGAACATAGGAACACTGAAGAGGCTGTCAGGGAAGATAGAAAGCAGGGGTGTGGGGGGGTACAGGCTGCACTGAAGACTAAAGCTGATGTCTTGAATTGCTGCAGTCAAGGACAAAACTTCCCCTGGCATCTTTGGGGCAGAATCTTGCCCTCAATGTGTAAAACAAAAGGGAGAGAGCTTACACTGTGCTGACTGCAGAGCCCAGCCAGGCTGCTCATAATGGCTGCTCATAACAAAAACTGTTCTCCTAAGATATTCTCATTTCTGAGAGGCATGGCACATTTGCCCCAGTTCTATTTCTTAAAAAACAGTGAATTCAACTTACTACAGGAAGCAAATCATTTCCACATCAGAAATAATTTCATCAAGAAATCAGTATCCTCAATAAACCTTATATGATGATTTAAAAGCAAATCTTCTTATTGCCTGCTAATAACAATGTAAATGAAACTTAAAGGAACCATGAAAAAGAAGTGTCTTAAATTATAGAGAGCTTGATAATGACAGCATGTTAACTTGTGACAGAAGTTACTTCTCCCTAAACTGAGACATTTAAAATAAATTTCAGAGCACAGCACCAGTATGTCAGTCCTGGTATATCAAGGAAGTTGCATCCAGGGGCCAATATGGGTGAGGGTCTTACTATGATCTAGTACAATTAAATAATGTATCTGTAGCCAGCCTTTGTCAGAATGCATATATTAATCATTCAATTTTATTGAGTAACAGGAGTAACTTTATCACTGAAATAAAACATGTAAGACGGTGTTTAGGAACACCAGCAACCCAGAAAAGAATTAGCTTGGATGAAAAGCTTACATCCTAGCTTCCAAAAGCTAAAATCCACCCTAGCTTCTCCCATCACTGCTCATTTTCCTCTGCTGAAAAGTGACAGTGATTGATGTCTTCTCCCACCCAAAGTATGCCGCGGTTGTAGCTCCTTATGGTTAGAATTAAGCTAACAGCCCAGCTCAAACACTCACCCATTTAGATGAAGTATTTATTAGCCACGAATCCCTCTGTTCTTACACCACCTCAAAGTTCTCGTGTACGTCACTGAGAAAAACAAAGGGAAGGTCTCTGGCATTCAGTCGGAGAACTCCAGCACCAAACCCTCTAATAAGGCGAGCAGGCATGGAACGACTCAGAAGGCCCAGATGTTAAAACCATATAAAGCTGAAAAAGAAAATAAAGAGCAGCTGAATTACAAAGGAGGGAAGGATACAATGTTTGTCTATGGTTAAACTACTGTAAACTTTGAAATCTGTATTATGGAATCCATTATAAAACCCATAATTCTGATTTAAAAGTAATAGTCATAAGATTTTTACTTTGCCATTATTTATGGAATAATAAGAAGGTATGTTAATAGAATCCCACTAAGTAAATAGATGGATTTCATTAAAATTGTCCTGATAAAGAGTCAAATCAAAAGAAAAAGGAAGTAATGATTTTTATTTGACGTCAATTTATTTTCATAGAACACCTTGTGCCACAGAAACCTAGGAAGATGAAAAGAGACGGAAAACTTTTTCTTTTCCTCCATAGCATAAGTGGAGATTTTTAATGGCATTTGAAAGGCGGAAGTGACCTATTTCCAGTTGCTTCTATATTAAGAATCCAGCTACATATTCAATACTTGCCTGAAGAATCAAAGCAACATACAAATTCAGATCAGGATTGATTTGTCAACACGTTGGCTAAATAGAAAATTTGTTGCAAAGAATGCGCTGGAAAAATGAGTGCTTGAAATTCTGCCCCAGTAAGGTCCTTCAGGGACATACCTCAGATGTTTGCCTTGCTCCCTCCTGCTTGCCCCTCCTCTCTCGTCTCTGATGGCTGTCCCAGAGAAGCAAAAATCACAGGAGAATTATATGTTTGTGCCCCTTCTTTTGGGTTGTCCCTTCACTCCCTTCACTCCAATGGCCCACAAACCAGGTCTCTCTAAAGTGAAAACAGGACTGCTGTGGGCACCATGCTTCTCACAGGGATCCCACTCCCCACTGGATTACAGGAGCCCTTGAGGCTCCAGAACTTCTCTTGCCAGAGGGGTTTCTCACACATGACAGAGCTCTTCTATGAAGGCTACCATGACCAGATAAAAAAAAAAAAAAAAAAAAAAAAAAAAAATTGGTTTGGGTTGGAAGGAACCATAAAGTTGGAACTGCCTGGTTCCAACCCCCCCTGCCATGGGCAGGGACACCTTTACACCAGACCAGGTTGCCCAAAGCCCCATCCAGTCTGGCCTTGAACACTTTCAGGGAGGAGGCAGCCACAACTTCCTTGGGCATCACCAGCTGAAGGAGTCCTGAGGCTTGGAGGGGCTTTGTCTCCTCACTGGGAAACCAGCGCTGCACCAGTGCAGTGCTTGCAGTGGTAAGGCTGCTCTCCTCTCCCTGTTCCCCAAGAACATTATGTGGTGGTTTATCCTCCTAGTATTATGACACAGAGGATATGTCACGTAGCATCATTTCTGGGACTGCACCCACCCCATGCAGAGTGCAGACGAGAAATAAATGAATCATCCAACATTTGCATATGACTATCTCATTGCATAGAAACACAGGTAGGACACAGGCCCTACTGAACTGTTAACTCTAGTCTTGTGTTATAATTAAGGGCATTAACCACATTACATGTATATTCTGTAGTTATGGTACAAAGTGGGAATTCTGCCCCCAAACTCCATCTCTCTAGTTTCTATTTCAGTGACCACTTCCCCCCTACTGGTTCTGTGTTGCCACTTACCTACATCTTCAGTAATGTTTCTCCCGTGCTGCAGTTGGCTTCCCCAAGCGTGCCAGTGCTTTTCCACTTCCAGCCTATGCTCACCGCCTCTGAAGGTGAACAACCAGAGCTGGGTGCAGCCTTCCAGGTGAGTGCTCAGACAGCCTCAGGTCAGAGGTGCTAAAGCTCTTCTGGCTTCACAAGAAACACTTCTCCTGTTTTATTCGAGGCCATACTTACATTTTACAATGACAGCATAGCTGCAGCTCATTAGTCTACTTTCATAACTTGAGCTTTCTTCCATTCACTTGTTGCCTACTAATGCACTTCTGGCTTATTGTTCCTATATCCAAGTATTAGCATTTCATTTTAGTATTCACATCCCTTTCAGAGAGCTGGAGGCCTCACACTCATCCACCTTTGTGGCACTGCTTTGCAATCTTTACCCATATAAGCAATATTTTCCAAATCTGACACCCATTCATGTCATAATAGCCTCTGACATGTTGTGTTGAGACCCACGGCACAATGCAAGATGAAGTCTGAAAACAAATCAAATCTCACTGAATACCTGAAAAAATAAATGTTTTTGTTTGCAGCTTTTCTTTATGCAGTTGCATCCAGTGGTATGCACGTGCTTCTCAGATGTATGCCTGCGTGACCAGAATATTAGCATTAAAAGTGTGGGCTTTAAAACTGCATGGTCATTTTGCTGATTTCACAACTATTAAGCTAGTGGTCTGAGAAGCTGAATTTTCTTTGGGATGAAATGTTCTCAGGCTGTAAAATCAAATTAAGGAGAAACTTTGATGCTCCCATTTCTTGTTCCCGTTCTAACGTTTTATGCTGTTGATATTGATTTATTAGGAGTTAAATAATCACTGCAAGAAAAAAGAGCCATGAAGTCCTTTTCACGTTTATTTTTAAATCTACAGGCTTTTTGACCACCATTGCCTTACAGTGACACCTTCTGGAAAAGAGGGGAGAGAAGAGCTGCTCAGTAGAGGAACAGAGTGGGGGAGACTAGGCATTGAGACAGTTTTGGAGTCCTAATTCTTGGCAGGCTTCTGATGTTAAAACACCTGTAAAGAGCAGTGTCAGAGCCACGCGAAGGTTTCAGCTCTTTTTGTGGTGCATGGCTTCATTGCTTATGGTTTCAACACTCTTTAAGAAAAAGAATCTACCACAAAACAATCATCCTGTCTATATTCATGCTCTCTATAAAATAATACTCAAATATAGGGTGGCAGTAGTATCACATGTTGCTTAGAGTCTCATGGAAGTAAAAGTAAGCAAACAAATAGGAAAAAAATACATTTTTAATGGATAAAATATTCTTCCCTTTCAAATCCTTACTCAGAATATTGCTCTATTTTGAAAGGGGCATGTGTTAATACTAAAATTCTTTAACATAGAATAATAATTTAAGAATATGTACACTTCTAGCTAGGTTGGCAAGCAAAACAGGAAAAAAAAAATCAAAGTTCCTTAGAAGAGTATAGCAGAAGATATAAAAATACATTTTCCATTTCTGGACTGCACTTCAGCTGCTGACAATCCACTGTCATGGCACAGCTCCCAGTTTCATCTGATGCTCCCTCAGTGTTAACTCAGAAAGAAGTTATGCCAGCAGCAACAGTAGTTTCTTAGGCCACTCGCAATACACTGTTGCAAGAGTGGCTCTGTTGTGTCTTGCTAGGTTCACAAACAAGAAGGCTTTGAAGTTGGTTGCTATTGAAGAAAATAAAAGTTTTACAAGTAAGCTCTGGGATCCTGGGATAGTGGCATCCTTTTTGTTAGCAGTGATACTCTAAATAATAGCTTCTGTCAAAATGGCATAGGGGCAAATACGGTGTACTATAAGAAGCTGAAATCTAACAGAAATCAGAGTACTGGCCCCCCCAAATAGTACAGCACTGTGATTTTCCACATTCTCAGATGTGAACATCACAAATGTTCACTCCAAAATGGCTCAGCATTCGTAACCATGCTGTCAGTGGTGACCCCCAGTGCCATGAGTCTACATTCATTTGTATAACAATACTGCCTGTAAATTTCCAGCTTATTAGTTAGTATACGTAAGCATGAAATCAGCACAGCCATACTGATTTAAACCAGATGAGGGACTGACCTTTAGTTTGGACACAGAATCATGTGAGAGAGGAAACTATTATATGGCAAAGAGCCATTACAACTATAAAAACAAAACCTTCATCAGGTGACCTCAGCTAAATGTGTAGCATCTGAACCCTATGCCCAAACCTACCAAGCTGACTGGTACTCACTCAGCCCAGAACACAACACATTGAGTGTTGTGCCCCTGAGAGATGAGGCAGGCTGGCAGTACAGTGTGACAAACCTTGACTTGCTCCATCTAGGTAAACAGCCTGTGCCCAGATGTATACCACGAAGACATCCCAGACTTCTGGTCTCCAGAGCCATTCAGGCTGCACAGTTGGCCCATCTGGTCTTACCCAATGTGGAGCCAGAACATGGTTAAAACCTTCATTCAGTCTCAAGAAACTTAAAATCACCCCAGTGCTACCAGCAACATATGACTTCCGTCCCCAAGAGTCTACTAATTTCACAATAGAGATCTTCCCAGTTGGGCTGCTTACCCCCAATTACTCATTTCCAAAAGGTCCCATTATCCTCAGCGTTTTGGTACTTTGTGCTTCTGATTCCATCTGAGAGAGGACTTCAGGTCCCTGAAATAATTCTACTTACCTTACAAAAAAGAGTAGGGTAAACTGCTATGCAGACACATGTTCCAGAAGACAAGAAGGCAAAAATCTGTAAAGCAATAAAAAAGATCCCATATAACTAGGGTTGATCACAGAGTCTAAAAATCCTGAAATTTCCAGACTTCTTATTTCCAACCACCAGAACTCATTTAGCTAGGTCTTCCAGCCTTGTCCAGAAGGTGAGGTGCTCAGGTGACAGACCAGAAACTGGAGAGTCCAAAATAACAGGTACTGTAGGATTTGCAATAAAACAAAGAGTTTGCAACCTTGGTTTTATATCTATACAAATGTAATCTGACAATTACTCACTGTAACTCACCAGAGCAAAAATGGGAAAGAGGGAAAAGTAGCAGGAATGGTCTAAGACCAGGCAAGAGATTAGCACAATGATTTAAGTAAAAGGGGCTTAGGGCTGGAATGCAAACAGATGGCTATCTTAGAATTAGATTTTCTTAATACAATACAATACAACACAATACAACACGATACAATACAATAATAAAATAAAATATAAAATAAAATAAAATAAAATAAAATAAAATAAAATAAAATAAAATAAAATAAAATAAAATAAAATAAAATAAAATAAAATCAGATTTGTCACAATAAGCTCAAACCATTTTTTGAGGACTTGCTATAGCTGCCCTCATTGAGACTCTAGAAACACCACCTCACTAGAAATGCTGGAGAAACTGTAAGAAAATGTTTTTTTAAAGATCAGCTTAAGACAGTGAATACCGGTGTTTCTTTTTTCCTTGAGATCCACTGAAAACAAAAACTATTCGAGATGCTATGGATGCATGCAGTTTTCACCGATAACTCTGAGAGTCACATGGCTATAACAAGAAATTATTTTGTCTGATATCTAATCTACTGGTCTTGAAACCACAAAACTAAAGAGAGAGGGAGGAAGAACCATGAAGAGAAATACAGAGCATGTGTATTTGCAAAAGGGCGCGATATGCCGGCTGGTATCACTCAGAAAAGGACAGTAAGCTTTCTATACTGTATATATAGTTACTATATACTGCCCCTCATAAAATATTTAGATGCAAGTTTCTTTCCCATTCAATCTCAAGGAAGGACTTGTTTACTGTAATAGCAATCCATATTAATTTACCACAACAATAACAGAAGTCAGTTTGCCAGTCGGTGTTTTGTTTATACTATAAAGCTTGAAATGGAAACTGTGGCCTTGATGAAAACTGTAAAATTCCAGTAAATGGGATTAGTCATCCTTTTGTGTGCCCCAGTTCCACGTATCAAATAACAAGCAGTGACACCCTCAGCTACCAAGTGGAAGCAAACATACTTCAAAAAGGAATAAAAAGCCACAGAGGGGATGAGTAACATTTGACATTTTCATGACCGGAATTTCTGTAAATGTCTCTCTCCCAGAGGAGAAATATCTTCCAAAATATTTAGTCCATTGTAGTATTTCTCTTTGATAGAGCACTGTGAAATCCAAAGGGGGGAAATACTTAATGAGAATGTCCTAATATTTAACTCTTTGCAACCTGTAACAATATAAGGCATTTCAAATCAGTATTATTATAGCCAATGGCAAAGGTGAGTGGATTTTGATCTAACAGATTCCTGACAGCTGTGGAGCTGTCAGGAGCACTACATGCACTACATGCTCTCTCCCCATTCAATAGTCTTGAGGCCTTTAATATGATCCTCAAGAGAAAAATTCCATCAAACAAGAAGCTGTTGATCATGCAAATATTGTATGCCTAATCCCTTTGCTTTCGACAGAATATGAATTACATCAGCCTTCAGAAAGGGTTAGCATTTCCTTGTTAGAGCTCAGTGTCCCCAGTGGAATCCTTAAATATTTGCATTCTGCACACCTTGGTCACACAGCATATTAAGCCAAATCTCGATGCATTCCATTGCTTATGCAATCCAAAACAAGGCAACTGGTTTGAAAAGGTTGCATATATGTTTTTGAATTGTCAGTTGTTACTGAGGAAAGCACCTAACTTTCATAAGATTTCAGCATACTGAATGGAGCTTAGACAGATTACCAATGCAAACTTGCTGCCAAGCACGTTTGCCTAACAGGGTTTAATTACTATTATATTCTGTGAAATTGCATGACAATAAAATCACATTTTAAAAATATAATTGCAAATTTCATAGCTTGGCTAAAAATGAAATCAGCTGTAGCAAAACTAAATCTTTGCAAGTGTTTAGTACTTCTGTTATTCTGACTGCATGCCATGCATCAGAAGAAAAAATCCCAATATAATACTGGGACATTGGTTAAATACATAACATTGGTTAAATCCTCATGAAGAATACAGGTAACACTACAGTGTTGGAATCACCCAAAGTCATTTCTCTCCATCTTCTAAGAAGGCCATGCTCCACAGCAATCCCACACTTCAGCCTGATGAACAGGGGTCTGCCTCCAGAAATTCAGCCTGTATGCCTTCCCATATCTCTTCTGTGATGACAGGATATGGCAGCAGAGCATTAATGCTAAAACTGTACATCCACTCCTACTTCCAAATACCTGTGAATAGCCATGGTAAAAACACCCTCCCCAGGTGAGTCTTCACAGCTCCCATGGCAGCTGGACTGTGGGATCATACCAGGAATTTCACACTGCCGCCTTCGCATGGCTAGTGCAGAGAGTACAAATCCAGTAGGACTTAGGGGACCCTGTTGTCACCATTTGGAAATCAGCATTGTCATCACCTTCCTAAAATCAGACCACTCGAGATTTGTTTCCATCCCACAAATTAAGCTGTGAAGAGTCAGTAGGTGTGGAAAACAAACCTGCCTGTTAAAGAAATCACATGTCTGAGTTTAAAAAATAATTAAAATAAAAATTTCCACTTTACCTGATGCTTCCTACTATGTCTTGAGGCAACAGTTACGTTTGCTATTTTAGGATGTCTGTTACAGACAGCATGCATTGGAAACAGGCAGACAGTGACCTTGCCTTTTTGTTACCTGCTGCAATAATGGGCTGCCACAGAGCTGAACCCTGCAGGGCTGGCTTTGACCTGGGACATTGTGCTAAGTGTGCCTAGTGCTGCTAGCTGGCAGCACCGTGAAATAAAAGGAAGAAGTCACTATCCTTATTACTCAGTTCATCCCCAATTTAGTACCATTGGCACCACTGCAACCACCTCCGTTATTGGGTTTTAGTACCGAATGTTTGGAGCTAGTCCCTGAAGCAGGCCACAGAGAGGAAGAACATAACTGAGGAGGGATGCTGTGTCACTGACCATTCATTCTCCCTGAGCTAAAACCACCTCTTCTCCTCTCAGAAAGGCATTGTGCTTTTGCTGCTGACCTAGCCACAAACCACACCACATTCCTGTCAGGAAGTATGAAATTTTGCCTTGCCTTTTAAGATGAAAAGGAGAATCCATACCACCTAACTGAGCATTTCATAGACTTTGGGTTGAAACACACAGTATTTTACTGTTTCATTTTTACAAATTTATGCTGTACACTTTCTGAATGAGTAGGAATTTGAACGAATAAAACTAAAGCACTCTTCACTGCATTCACTCACAGGCTGTGCCAGGTAATGACCATGCACAAAAAGACAGCTGACATGGGCTGGCCAAGGTAGCTGATAGCACAGAGGAGAGGGCTGAGATCCCCAGGCTCACAGCAGGGAGGGCAGAGGCAGCACACGCACACTGCACAAAGCCCAGCAAACCCAAGCAGGACTGCAGGAGAGCTGGCAGCGATGCCAGCAGAGCAGCCCTCACCCCTTCAAAGCCCTCCTTTTATGCTACAGCTGGCTGCCAACTGTTCAGCGGCTACGGGGAGGAGGAGGAGGAACAGGGAAACTTTACAATTGAACAGCGTATAGCTTTGTACAAATAAGTTCAGAAGGAAATGCAGAGAGGAAGAAAATACATTAACCACATTGCCCTCCTCCTTATTTTATAAGGAAATAAAAGACCTGCAGGAAAATGACACGGTCACTTACAAACATGAGGTTCCTACACCAGCTGAAAGACAACAGAACAGCACAGATCAAGCCATTTGCTAGCTGGGGCAGGGACTGCAGTTTAACTTCCTAAGAATATCCAGAGGAGTCTCTTTGAAGTCTACAAAATACAAATAAACAAAGCCCAGAAACTCTGGTATTTAAAGAAAACAAAGACATACAAACAGATGATTCAGGACACCTGACTCAGGGCACAGTTATGAAGCTGAGCAAGACCCATCAGTAGTTCTCTATGCCCATAGCATCTGTTGAGGAGATGTATCACCCATTAAGCTAAATTAAGATGCACACAGGAGGAGTGGCTTTTAGGAAGGAATTTCCAGTAAAGCCACACTAGCATGAACAGCACAGATCACGTAGTCTGACACAAAGCAGACTTAACGACAGAAAAAAATCAGTATCAGTGCTTCCCATTCCCCAGGCTGCCTCCTAAAGGATCCTAATAGGTATGGTGCAGGAAAGAAAACCCCAAGCAGCAATGTGCTGCTTTTCTAAACATACTGATATGGGAGATTGAAAATCATACACTGTTTTTCTCACTAGAATAGCACTATTGCACTATTTGCAGACTGAATTACTATTCAGCATGTGCATTATGTCCCTAATCTGGCCCTTAATAGGAACATATTGATACACACTCCACCAGATGGAATGCATTAGACATTAAATACAAAAGTTGTTTTTGCTTTTAGAAGTCTATGTAACTTCACACACACACACACACACACACAAAAAAAATAAAAAAAAAATCCCACAGACTATATATTAATCATGTTTACTGATCTCTGGAGAGTATTAGCACACTTTGAAGTTAGCCTACTGTGCCAAGCCTCTGTCAGTTGAAGGCATAAATTTTCTTCTTTGCTCCTAGTGTAACATTTTCTTTCTTCCACACACACTCCCAAATGAAGTAAAGTTAGACTGGAACTAGATGCTCTATATTAGCCTGCAAGAGCTTACTAAGATGTGTGAATGGGTGGCTTCACTTTGAATGTACATGTTCTAGTACAAAAAACATCTTTTCCAACCAGAAAATATCTCAGTAAGACATTTTTTTTTGAACTGTTCTGCAGCAGAATGAATTTTTTTCAAAAATACAGCTCCATCCATTACCATGTCATTAGATAGCCAAGTTTCAAACATAAGGCAGCAAGTTATCTTTGCAAAGCAGTGATTATAAATAAAACATCTGAGATATGACTTCCTCCACATTGTGAAGTATAGTAATAACACTGAATAGGAATTCTGTGTCAAATATATATATAGGTTCCACACAGGGAAAAAAAAAAAAAAAAAAAAAAAAAAGACAGCTGTAGAACATAATGAGAAGATGTGCTGATAAAACTGAGCACAATCAGATAGCAATTTCCTTCCTTAAGACACAATGCCATCTAGCAGTGGAAAAGGAGTGATCATTGATTCATGATTCAGCCATCAGATGGTGAAGGCATGTGCAGCCGTGGCATCAGCACAGCCACGATATCAGGCAGCCAGTGTTCCTGGCTGCAGATCCTGGTAGGGTATGAATAACTCTCGAGAGTTATAACACTGAAGAGTTGCTGAGAATTATTACAGATGTCATGCATGAAAGGACTTAATGGAGACCAAAGTATAAGCACAGATTGATAGGAGTTGCTTAGGAAAGTCAGTCTAATCTACAGGTGTTTCCACCATTAACAACATCTTCAACAAAGCAAACAAGTAAATGCAATACTACAAAAACATAGTCATGTTCGTTGACTCAGAAAAGAATCACAGACTGCATACAGACAAGAAAGACACAAAAACCTCAACTTTAGCTAGCAAAGAATTCAAAGTTAAGGAAGCAAGATGGATTTTCCTTGCAATTGCATCAGCATAAGTGACTTTTTGTGGCTATACATCGTCAATATCTATACCAATCTACACTGCATTTGAAAATTTAGGCTTCTGATTTTTGCCCTGTAAACTGTACTAAAGCAGGATGACTAGAGTAGCCTGGATGCACATACATCACCCTAAGTATGTTTTTCATAGCAAAGAATGGATGTTGTCACAAGTAGCCCTGATTTCAGTCATTTAAGATCAAAGGAAGCTATCTCAATTAGAAAGGACAAAATCAGACAGCCTGAAGAAAGTAAATTGGGAGTCTTTCTCCTTTGCCTTCCAAAAAGACAGCCTATCCATGGCCAATCAAACAGAAATTGAAAGACAAAGCCTCTGAAGTTACTGGTAACACCAAAAATATCAAAGCTAGCAAAACACACTAGAGCATTATAACACGTTAATAGTTAGTTCTCACTTAACTTTACAGGGTTCCTTTGTGATGTTCTTTTTTTGCATGAAGAGATTTTTTTTCGCAGACCCAGCTTAAAAAGTCAATCTGTAAGAAGTCCCAGTGAACTTGCTCCTTCAGGATGGACTCTTCTGGAAGAAAGAAAGTCAATTCTCTTCGTCCTCTTGGAGCTGCCTGTTCTATACTGTGTCTGTAAGTGGTGGATGCCCAAATCTTATCCCAACCTGGGATCCTCACCATTTTCTAAATTGCTTATCTTCCAGCAGATTTCTGGGGACAAGAACCCGAGATTTTATAAAGGAGTTGTTAAAATGTTAAAGAAAAATGCTTCATTCATTTTGAAACTCTGAATAAATCTTAAATTTTCTAGCCCACTGTCTTCTCATATCACCCTAAGCACACTGGGAAAAGTTATATGAGGAGACAATCCATAATACATATTAGTGGGTCAGACTAGCAGGCATTACACTGTTGTGCCATGAAAGATCCTGCTGCTGAACCAAATGCAGAGTAAGGAAGTATAATTAAGGTAACTACAAGGTACCTGAACTCTACATTCACACTTTGGGACTTTGAATCTGAGGTTTAGCCTGGCAGGAGTATGATTTAGTGCATTAAACAGAACAAACTCTTGAAAGAGATATCCACCAGCACACTGCACCAATACAAGATCTCTCTCTCTAGTCCTACCATGTCCAGAGTGTACATGCTCTCTCATCCACAGCACAGTAAGAACAATGATAGAACATCAGAGACATCAGAGAACATTGGAGAGGCTTTAGAATTTGTTTGTACTCTGAGTGGGTTAGTTATCAAGGGTACAATTCCATTCAGAGGCAGTTTTCTGACGAAGCTGAAATGGCCAGCTCTCCTAGGGCTGGGAAAGGATGTTACTTAAAGGGCTCCATTAGTCACCAAAGCTTTTTTCTCTTAAATTGTGCAAGTTTTTGACCTCAGAGGTCAGAAATAGACTGTGCATCTGTTGTTGGTTGGTCTTCCTGAGGTCTCATATCTAAACGCTTGGGCTGATGTTTCCCTAATTGCATTTCCTTTTCAGAACAAGCCGCCATGGCCCCATTCAAGAAGGGGCTCACCCAGGCTGGAAGTGCTTTCTGAGGCACTCAGGGACAGAGTCTGTTCCATTATTTCTGGCTGGCACAGACCTGCCAAGCAGAGCAATCACAGATCTTCACATCCCAGCGAAATTAACCAAAGGGATCCATTCAGAGTGGGGTGGGGGAAGGAACAGTAGTAAAACACAACAAAATCAGAGCCATCTCAGGGTCTAGTCAGCATATGCTGGGCGACAAGCCCAGCGCTTTGCTCTTTGTTTGCTCTTGACTACAGGCAGCAAGCTCTTAATTTATGAACAAGAGTGTACAAAAGGAAAGATAAAAATTCCTACCTAAATCAACAAAAACTGCAGGAAAAAGAAATAAAATTATTTTCTAAATAATTTGGCAAACAGTAAAACGACAAAGAAAAAAAAATCTCTTCTCACTAGAGACAAATACATAAGAGCAGGAAGCAAGCAGTGTGACGCATCAGGGTTATTGATGGCAACTATTCTATTTTCCAGTAACTATTTTCATCTCAAATATGCTCTTCAGATGGCTTAAATAGCATATAAATAAATAAATAAATTTTAAAAGAAGCTAAAAATCTCCTGCCAAATACAGACAAACAATCATTTTTCCTTGCTTTTTCTTTCATGTTACCTGAGTCATCCTTTGTGTGAGTGTGTATTTTAAAACAAACACCTTCAAAGATCATTTGCATTCATGCCAATTGTGATGTACAAGGCAAAACACTGAATATTCTGTATATACCTTCTGCCTGTGTGTAAGACCTAATGTTTTGTAGTAGACACAGTCCACATCTCTGTGCAAATATCAGGCTGTGACAGGAAAACTCAGTTTCTGTGTAACCTACCAGCTGAGCATGTAGTTAGTAGACAAGACAGTGCGTGAAGTCATTAGGACTTGTTAAAAGTCACCAAGTTGAAAAGCAGTCCCTCTAGAAACAGAAAGCAGCCCCTCAGATCACCACGGAGATGACAGATAAAACATATAGATTCATATTTCAAATCAAAATTTGAAAATTTAAAGTTCCTGTTCCTCAGTAAAAGTAAGCAAACAAATAAATAAAAAAAAAAAAAAAGTCCAGCTGTACTTGATTTCCTGTTGTCATAGCCTTAAATCCTGGCAGTGAAAATATCATTCAGGACCAGCATGAAATGCATATGCTCCCCCTAGACACATAGAGAGCATTCAGCCTCATTCACTAGGTGGCACTATTAGCCCGTCCTTCATTTGCTAATGAAATTAAAGCCCATCGGCATTTACTCCTGTACGTGGTGCAGATGTCTGTCTGAAAAACAACGTTATGTTTCTAAGCCTTTTTTAAGAGTTATTCTGGGTTTTAATAGCGTGTTTTGTCATCTTCAGCATGAGAACAGTTTTTCAAAAGACTATGAGTTAAAACCTCAATACGCATCATATATTATATTTATGATGACTTGAATGGTCATGTAACCACATAAAAGATCTAGCATGGTGGGAGGGAGAAACAACTAATGTGTATCTGAAGTTTGACTTTAATGACTTATACTTAAATTTTCCATGGAGAAAATATTGGGGAAAAAAAAAAAAAAAGAAAAAAAAAAAAGAGAGAGAGAGAGAAAAAAAAATAAAGGTCGGGGGGGGAGGAAGAAAAACAGAAATCTGAAATGCTGAGCCACCAGAAAGTTTTACCACTTCTAGATGTTCATTTATGGATCCTGAGCTATAATAATGATATATGATGCATAGTTTATTTCTAGCCATTTGGTTGTTGCTTACTTAAGCTTAATTCAATAGACCATATAACAGAGGTTTCCTGGTCTTCACTGAGAAAACTATGTGAAAAGCAAGGGACCTGAAATTTAGAGTCTGCCTTTTCTTGATCTGCATCACTTAATAGTGCAGGACTGCAACTTGCTGCACTTTCCACCGAACACAATAAACTAGCGTGTAGGGCAGCTGTGTCAGCCAAAGCACTTCCCATCAAGGAGTGCAGCGAGACTGAACATGCAGTAAAATGTTCTGAAACCCTGCTATGAACTCCAGCATTGGTTGGGTCAGTAAATCAACAATTCACAATGCTGATTTGAAAAAAGGAAGGCAGAAAGAAAAAAAGCTGGTTTTGCTTTGAAGGCTAAAAAAAAAAAAAAAAAAAAAAAAAAGCTCATTTTTAGACCCTACTGCATGCCTGTGCTATTTCTTGAATGTGCTTAGTGGATTACCTTTCCTGGAGACCCCCACAGCTTGTCTCTGGGCCAAAGGCATGGTGGGAGCAGAGTCAGGAGATGTCATGGTCTTTTCCCAGCACCAATCCATGGTGTAGGAAAAGCCAAATAAAGGCTAAAATAAGAAATAGCTGTGGTGCTGCTAACTCCAAACAAAGGCCAGTGGTTTCCCCTGAAAGATCAGTACTCATTCCCTGTGGGAGTCTTCTCGATGCAAAGGTCACAGGCAGGTTCTGATATTTCTTTCCCTTTCTAATGGAGAAAGCCATGAGTTGTCAGAACAAAGGGGTCAGCATAGACCTCATAGCAGCCCAGATGCAAAATCTTGTGCAGACCCTACCTGGGCAGCTTTCCCCAGCCTTCGTATCCAGCCAACACACACCCATCTCCAAGCACACAAACATCGCATCCAATGCCCAACATTATCATGCAGCTGAGTTTCAAGTCATATTTAGCCAGAGCCATTAGCAAAGGTGGAGAAAACTCTAAAGTACCCATCTAAGAGGATCATTGAATGGGGCAAGTGTGCTGGTGTCCTGTTGGATGCAGCTCCTCTGGCACCTATCCTTCAGGGATGTGGCAGAAGAAAAGGGGCTTGAGGAGGGGTAGCTGGTGGCCAGATGTCAAAACTCTTGCTTACAGGGGGCTATATGCACAAAGAACAGTTTTTAAGTGTTGTTCTGTGATCTTGGCACAAAGACAGCTCACAACCAGGGCTGCTGTATGCGAGACTTGATGAGGAGAGGCCAGACCGGTAGGGCAGATCTGTCAAGTGTCCAGCACCTAGGGAGGAGGTGCACAAACATTTGCAAGTGCTTGTGAAGGCCAGGATTCACATCTAATTGTTGTGCTACAGAAAAGTCCATTCAGACATGTGTCCCAGACTCCCCAGAGGACAAACTCCCCCCTTGCTCAGAGAGCAAATTGTGTACCAGGTTTCTGAATGGCCAAGAAGTCTTTAGGATCATGTTTTTGAAGGCACTTACCAGTTACTTTTGAAAATCTGGACCACAAGTGATGAAACAAGAGATGTGATAAATCTGACTAGATGGAAGTGTCAGAGTAATAAATATTAAAGCAGAAAACCCCTGCTGAATCATCTCTTCAGTCTTTCCAGCAGTTTCATGTGGAGTCATTTTTTATTGAGTCAGATATTAACATTCAGAGGAACAGTTGCTTTTAAGTAATTTCCGAGGTCCTTTAAAAGTATTTATTTGAATGTTTTCCTTCTTCCATTTTTGTCACTTGCTCACATATCAGACGTTTAGAAAAAGACACAGAGCACCACAGTGCTTGCAACCAACTCTCTGAATAGTCCCTCTGCAGCTGTAACTCAGCAGGAGAGCTGAGCTGCTCAGATGTGTTAATTAGTTGGCAGCTCTCCGCAAATTTTCAGCAGTAATGCTTGGTGTTATAGGTCTGTCTCCAGGCGAACACTTTCATTTTGCTGTTTCACCAAGCAAATCCTGTAAAAAGGAGAGCAAACATTGGGTTTAATAGGAGTTAATGCATTACTTTACAAGTTCTTCATGGCTGAGAGTCTGAAGTCTTCCCTTCAGTGATGTAATTGAGACAGCTGCAAAAAGCCACTAATGACCTCAGCTAAATGACCCTGTCGGTTGTGTCCAGCTCCTGGTAGATAAATAACCGCAGATATATCTACCCTTCAGCTATTTGGCCCAGAATTTGGGAAGGAAATGCTGTATATGAGCCTCATCCTTCTGTGGTTAGACACAAGAAGCTGTGTGTAAGTGAGCAAGGTGATTAACCCTGTAACCATGACCCTGAGGCTGCTGAGCACCTGGGTGCTGAGCACCTGGGTGCCACCAGCAGACCAGCCACTGGAGAGCACCAACAGTCTGACACGACACTCGGCTCATCAAACACAGAGCCTGGGCAACTCGTGCTGTGCTTCTTGCAGTGCTAGGGGCTCATTGCATCACCTCAGCCAAATGCATAATCACCCAAAACAGTAAGATGGAGACTTTTTCTTTAATATAAGTAGTATCTGCAATGAACAATTAGCTCAAATGGTTCTAACCACAGTGTCTTTCAAAGTAGCATTTTTAAACTGCTTTACATAGTTAAACACATTTTAGAGTATCGTGCTTGATCTCCTCAACACCAATGACATCTTCAGTGAGCACATAGCCAGAATCTTCCAAGTTTTGTGTACCACAGGAGGTTATCTGTTTTCAAAAACAACACTAGACAAAAACAGTCACCTGTGAGCACAGGAGGTGTCCAGTTTCCAAAAGACTGAGAATTTTCATTTTGTCTTTCACCAATAGGCAGTAAGTAATGGTCACTCTCAGTATTATGTCTACCTTTACTTTCTGGGTTCCATTAGGAAAAAACACATTGAAAAGATTTCTGTCATGAACAGCTTCACTTCTGCAGCTTTCCTTATTGAAGGGTAGCATGAGAAGAGGACATCAGTCAGTTTTATGTACAAATTTGAATTCAGTTGGCTTGACCTGAAGTATTGTAACCTACAATCATATATAATTATTTGAACTGTTGCCAAATAAATACATGAAATAAAAATAAAATACAACATCATTAACATATTCAAAGGTCAGCTAAGGTAAATGGAATTTGCATGATTTTGTTTGAATGATATCCTAAGCATATGAGAAATGGCTGAATAGGATAAGCTACCTCCTTAGTTTGTTTGGATGATTATGCAGCTTCCGTACAGCCTGCCTGCTCTTCCCTTACGCTTGAAGAAAAGAGTGAAAATTATTTACTCTGAATAACTTTGCATTATGATGGTATAGAAAAATTGCCATTTCAGGTGGCATTCAAGCTGTAGAAAACAACAGGTAATAAGCTTTTATTTATTCTATATGCCCCTGGTATTCAAGAGCTTTCAAGGGGACGCAGAGCTGGCCACAGTGAACATCCATCCACACCACAGTCACAGTGGCTTCTCTCCTGGAGTACCAGGGACTGGCAGTGCGGACACCCCATCCCGGACCTGAATGTTGGAGCCTACTGCACTTTGCTGGAAAAGCAGACATTAATACTGTCTGCCAAATACTTAAATCTGATTTAAAAAAAATCCCAACTGTAATGCAACTCACTCATCTCGACTGCTTTTCCAAGGCCTTACCAGATGGTGGCAATCTTGTTTCATGTTTGTGCTGTTTCCACCCTGACTTGCAGGAGGCAAGAATGAAAAACCAGCGGATGTAAAATTGGCAGCTACAGGCTTGTTATAGGCACAAAATCAAAAGAAAATGAAAAGAAAAATCCTCATCTCTAGTGACAAAAAATATTACACAGGTGAGCTTCCTCACTGAAACCTGCATCTTTAAAAATTTTTCTTGTTTGGTAGAATTATTTTACAACATTGCTTTTATTTATAGCTACTATTCAGGACTGAAAATCTGATCGTAGCCCTATTTTTATAGGGAGGGCATTTTAAGCTTGCATAATGATAAGTTTTTATTTCTTTATCAAAGGTGTGTTTTTATTTAAAAAAAAAAAAAAGTAGTGCAAAGGAACTTTGTATGGGAATGACTCCATACATTTTGCTTCCTGGAAGAGCCTAGAGTAACACAAGAATAACAGGTGTCTGAGCACACAAAAAGTTGTTTGGATAGGTATTTGAAAAATGAGCACACTGCAAAGCAAAGTGGCCCTGGTTTCAGAGAAAAAAATATAGACAGATAGATATTATTATATATAATTCCCATGACTGAGAAGAAGGAGCCATTTCTTGTGCAGGGCCTAATCCCACCTGCAATACATTGCTCTGAGGAAAACTTCATGACGTAAATGGGAGATTTACCATAGCAAAGTCTGTGATCCCTTTTGAACAGGAGGTAACACAAGTCCATGATTATATTTCATGTATCAGGCCTTTCCTTTGTGTCTCATGATAATTTGGCCATTCTGTCCTTCCACAGTCAGATACAGATACAGGCAGAGGCACACTGTGCACACAGAAGTGAGGCACAGAAAAGAGTTGAAAGGGGAACTCTAGCAGGAGCCACAGCCACACGCCTGGCTATGACTTTTACCGATCTGAACGCTCTCTGGAAGGACTATGCATTTATTATTTAATTTGGTATTTTGCACCACAGAAATCTTATCGAAACAGAGGACCTCTTGAAAAAAAAAAAAAAAAAAAAAAACTAATCAGGTAGTAAGTAAATATTTAACATTTTAGAGACTTCAAAACTTTTTACTTTAGGCGAAGAGTTTATCTACAAACACCAGAAGTCACCTGCTTCTGGTCTGGTTCCTCAAGAGCATCCAACAATACACCCACTGCCAGACTTCCCATTGCTGCACTGCAGACCCAGATCGATCCAGGCTTCAGTGTGCTGGTGCACTTCTGTCCTTCAGGGCTGAGGCAGGCTGTTTTCTCCAAGACCCAGCCCTTGTGGTAGAAGCTTAAGTAAAATTACAATATTTCTTGTCCTTTAAGGCATCGCCCATTCAAGTCATGCTCTTCAATCAGAGAAGCCTTCATCCCCTGGCTCTGACAATACTGGATTAGTTGTTGACATGTAGAGGATGTGTTTATGCTGGTGTCTGTTAGAGTATCAAGCTCTCCATTGGCTGTGAGTGGTTGTGGGCATCAGTACAGCACGATAACTGTAAAGGATTGAAAGCAAGTATAAGGCCAAAACTCCTGTGTGCCAAAACACAACAATCATTATGTTACACACAGACATTCACAGTCAGCTTAATGAAGCGAGAGTGAAGGCCCAAGACCAAAGGGTGTGGAAACATTCAATCTCCTGCAGACATGTAACAGCAGCAACCACCCATCTCAACATAGGGCCAAAATAAATCACTAAGATAAGAGAAGATTTCTGCAGGAGACTGAAAAATATGGGAACATCTGGACAGGAAAAAAAAATAGTTGAATGTGTGTTTTGGATGCTTTGTAGGAAAAATATCTGCAAGAGACTGTCTTGTCTGTAAGCACTGAACACTGAGACCGAGGACATTTCCTGAGGATTAATAACTACCTAGGAGAGTTAATGACCCAGAGGAAAGCTGAGGGTCATTTAAACCAGTCAGTCATCAGCTCGTTGGGAAATACCCTCCACTGAAGTTTGTTACCCTTGCTGCTTGAACTCCTCCCTCTCAATAAATACCAAAAAAAAAAAAAAAAAAAGAAAAGAAAAGAAAAGAAAAGAAAAAAGATCATACTGCTTTCTGCATAGCCAGAAAGCTCTACAGCTATGCCTCTGCACAGAGAACAAAAAGTCTTCCTTTGAATTTACATTACATCACTTAGAAAATTAAAACAAATAAAATAACATTTGTTATTTGACTAACAAGCATTTGACTAACAAGGTACCTGATGAGTTGTGGAGGGGAGAACATCACTGAGGAGTGCAGCACGTCAGCGTGGGGCAGCAGCTGTGCTGCTGCTACAGGACAAGCACCGCATTATGGGCACCGGGGAAGGGATGGAGAAAACTTTCTTCCAGCCTGACTGACATTATGGAGGAGTTTAAAGCAAACCACAGAGATGTTTCTAAAGATGAGAACGACTTCTCCCTTCTGTATCTTTTGCTCACTGTGGGATTACAGCACATATCTGAAGTGAAGACCTGCTGCCGTGTGGACTAAGCACAGAGCACTGCCAGCCACAGACCCAAGCCTAATCTGGCCTGTAGATAAAGTAGGGAGAAGGAAGAGTAAAAGCGTGACCTAGAATATATGGTAGCAGCATATGTTTCTTGCAAAGTTTAATGAAGATAACACTTTTTTGTGATATTCCCTTAAGGCTGGGGCATAGAGATGCACCAGAGCAAAGGTATTGCATTATGAAAGAGTGAATAGACCAAAGTAAGCAGCGACACAAATCCTTGAGAGAAAAAAAAAAAAAAAAAAAAAAAAAAGTATTTCATCTTTAAAATGAGATCTGCATGGTAGTCATATATCAAGGCATTTCACAACCTTATAGTTTGGGAACATAATGTGTGTGTGTTTCTAACATGAAAAACAGTATTACTGCATCATATCCCAGTGGCTTAACATTAGGCAAAGTTGTGCCTGGAAAGCCTCAGCCCTCTTTTCACTAAATGCTAGATATCTGTTAGTTTAAGTATTACTTATTTAAAAAGTTCTTTACATAAAATATTAACTTATTAATAAGTGCACTTGTGGTTATTAATAGCACTTTTATCTGAACAAAGAAAGAACAGGTTTATGTCCTAAGGCACTTAGGTTACTTGATCTCCCTGATTTGGCAGTGAATACTGGGAGAAACTCACTTATCTGAACTTTAGATTTGTCTGAATGCTCACCAGTAACAAGGGCAGGTAGGTACAAGAGAGGCAACAAATACAGGCACCTATTTCCTGCCTCTTTTATACTCCATGGTAGTGCTGCAGGAGCTGGTGGATAAAGTCAGGATCACTCTGGAAAAGCACTTCCAGGGAAACGCATATGCCTTTAAGTTAAGGCACTTGAGACAACAAAGTTGCTTTTAACAAGTAGAAGATCTGGTAATGAAGCACATCTGATCTAAGCTGTTTAATTTTACCCTGAGCATAAGCAGTAACCAGGTAGGAGAAGAAATGGTACTGCTGGTGCTCCAGTCCCCTTTGTTAGGAGGGCCAGCCTGAAAGTTGAGCATCTTTAACTGTCTTTTGCAAGGCAGCTTTAGCAAAGACAGCTTGAACAAACAACAGTTGGCAGTTGCAGCCATTGAAGGACCTTCAACACTGATTTTATTTCTCAGCCATGCAGAAAGGTCCAAGTGGGCACTGACAGACAGTCACGACAAGGGCAGCCCTGAGGAGCTCTCACCCTGCTCTCTGACCTGCTGGCAGAATAGAACCCCAGGCATGTGGCGCCTGTGTTGTCTCCTTGTCTTGACTGTCGAACTGCTAACTGCTCAGCAGCAGAGACCTAAGATAATTTTGCAGCTCTGGAAAGGTCTACTGAGTGTTTCTCCCACCATGCTGGGGTGGGCAGTGGAGCTGTGTGAGCAATTTAGGAAACACAGGGAAGGAGTTGTTCATCTCAGGCAGAAATACATACACACACACACACATTTATATATTGACATTGAAGTACCTATATAGTATGGATATTCTGTAACAGAGAGTCTGTTCTTTTACAAGCCTCATTTTATTGATTTATTTGTGTAAATTATTCCTAGTTGGTAGAATGTCTATTTTTTTTTTCTGTATGAAATCTTGATGCATTTTCAACTATGAAACTTTCTTGCTTCTCTTGACTGAAGCTGTTTGGCTCTGGTCAAGAGGAATGTTCCACCAAATTTCTCTTCCTCCCCCTCCTGCACAGGAAGAGGATGCCAGGAAGAGGATGCACTGCTTCTCATGACAAACTTTGTTTGGACGTTACCCCTCATGAATTTTCAAGATGTGCTGGGGATGAAATACTCAGGATAGCAACTTCTCTTTTACTACAGGAAAGGGAGAAGACTTATTTTCAAGTGGTCTTACTTTTGAGCCAAATGTCTTAGTTTTTTTCTTTCCTTTTTTATTTGTGTTACAGAATTTCTCTGCACTTTGAAAAACAAAAGTTCATCAGGAGACAGAATGATCTTTGGACATTCAATCCATCCAGCTCTCACCAGTGCTGATTTCCCAAGTGTTTATTTTCCTTCCAAGCTTCATTTTTATTTCTTGTATCTCAGTGTGACAATCTTAGGCTGCGCCATCCTCTATGAGATCGAATGGAAGAGAAATTCAGCTGCCTGCACAGATGAATCCTCTCATATGGGAGTTCTACCAGACATTCCTGTCATCACTGATAGGCTAACAAGTACAATAAGTATTTACTGTGTCAGCCCTGTGATACCTTTCTGAAGGGACAGGGTTCAACATGAGGGTTGAAATAAACATGGAAAGGCAAGGCAAGGGAGAAGGAAGGCTGCCAGCAGTTCCCGTGCTTGCTCCAACTTTTTATGTAAACCTTTCACTTTCTGAGTTAACTGAATATCTTTCAAGATAGAGCCCTATCACGAGCACATTTTTGACTCAGAATTGTGGCAATCAGCACAAAGTGTGTGGAAATACAAGAAAATAAATAAGTCAACTAATGGTTCTACAGTGGCATACCTGCAAGAGCAGAAGATAAGAAAAAGATTGAGATTCAAAATGCAGAAACTTCCTTTTTTAAAATATTTTTGTCAAATACCAGGGGCTACATGTAAAGCAGATGTCAGCAAAACAAACCTTTCTCACATGGCAGATGGACCTGTCACAGCACCCTGGGGTGCCCAGGAAGGCAGCACCAGGTCCCTCACCAGCAGCAACAGATGGGCTTGCCAAGAGGAGAATTTGCTGTATATAGATAGTAGATCTAAGAGAATTATAAAGAAGTACAGCTGGGAGAGACCCTTTCAAGGAGACACCCTTAAAAAAGTCTCCTGCAAATCAAAATGAGTAAGTGATTCTCCTAATATATGGCAAAAACTGGCAAAGATGACTTTTTGGACTTTGTTAAGGGATCTCTCTGTAGTTTAATTTCTCCTGTTAGGATTACTGTTTCTACAAGTTCTAGGCACGTATTGTGACAGCAGCCATGGCATGAAAGCAGAATGATAATAGCTTAAGTCAAAAATATGTTCTTTGTGACAGCACTCTGAAGAGATAAGATTACACTTACCAAGACCTGGAGAAAAAGCAAGCTACAGTAACCTATACAGTGATAACCTTGCAATGAGGTAAGGTTCGAGCTTCGAGCAATAGCTGGCTGTGACAAGACTGACTTTTCTAAAGATTCATCTTTCATCATCACGTGTAAGCCGAGACTACCTACAAACCAAGACCTAAAGATTACATGGCTGTTTCTTCTCAAACAACTGTCCCACAGCCATGGAGTACATGCAGGGAGAGGGTAACATTCTAATACATCAGCTCTCTAGCACACCAGAAGCTTTTAAAGAAATGTGGAAACAAGAAACCTATAGAGAAGAGCAAGAAGGAACAATATACAGTTTTGGAGGGTAGAAAAAGTTTCCAAAACCTCTGTATACCCCTGAGACCCAGCAGGACTGACAGATAGCCACAGCTTCGTCAGGACTTTGACCTCCCAGCTACAAAACCCTGTGCCTGATGCCTGCTCTGCCAACACCATCTGCAACCACAGAGCACATTGACCAGAACTGCTTCTGAACAAAATGTTTTTCAAACAAAATATTTTCCCACAAAGGCATACACACCAAAAAATAATAAATAAAAGACGACAACAGAACAACTAAAAACACTCCTCAGTTTAGTAGCATTCATTTTCAGAAATATGTTTTCGATCTGATATAATCTGATTTATTATTCAAAGACAACAAGACAACTGCTAACATTCACTCCCTGGAACACTTTATGGAAAGTATGGACAGGAAAATAAACTATCATTTAATATAGGAAATATACTATGATACAGGGCTTTTCCCAAATTACAACTGCAAAATTTGGTAACAGAAGTCATACCTTTGCAATAATAATAGCAAACTAGTAATAGTGATGCTGAACAGTGAGTTTATCAGGATGGAAATATGCTGAGTTTGCAGGTGTCAGTGGTAGTCAGAGCTAGCAATTTAGATTAGCTTCTGTAGAATAAATTAACAGCCTATTTCATAACATGCACCACTACATATGAATTCTGTCATTTTTAGAAATTCATAGAGCTGACAGAAGAGATGAAACATTTGCTCAGGGAGAACAGGGTTGGGCAATTTTCTTTTTTGACCTGGAACACCCAGATCCTCTCCAAAGGAAGCTCTGGAGATAACACTTTGCTTCTGTATCTTGCAAATTCATCATCCTCCAGTCTGTCTGTTAACTTTGCCAGACAGCCATGCATCCATCTTCTTTTTGAAGATAGCTGTTAAGGAGAGGAAGGATTAAGCTATCATAGCCTGAGGTCCAAGAAATTAAATTTGCTACTTCACTGAACGTCACTTGGGGACTGCCTTAAACTTTTCTGGGGCACAGGGGTGTGGATGTTGGATTTCTCCAGACCCGCTGTTTTTGTGTGTCTGCACATTGGAGGGAAGAACGCAACCCCGACACGTGATGCATCCACAGCCTGATTGCCAGGCAGCCTGCCCTTCTGCAAATACCATTAGGAACTTCTTTGCTCAAAAAACAAACTTAAATCAACATTAGCATTGTAATTATTGTAACGCTGCTGAATGGGCCACTCTGTTACCAAAAGTCTGTTCTAATCCCAAAACAACATAGTTAGGATGGGAGACTTTTTAAAAGTATTTGAAATATGCATACCCCATTTCAGGTCCCGAGAATCAAATTACCAGCTTGTAAGTGAGATAAGGCAGCAAGAGAGTGCTGAGACCCTGCACGTCCCCCAGACCCAGTGATTTGCTGGGCTTGGTCCTCAGACTGAGCTAAGCCCCGATAACACCAGCTGGAACGTGTGCTCTGCAGCCCTGGACAGCTGGGAGGAGAAAAGGGCAGCCACAAATTAAATTAGGAGGTGTAATATGCTGTGAGAAGAAAAACAAATTGAGATTGTGAAAACAGGTGCCAACTGACATTTACTCAATACTCAGTCACACTTTCCTTTCTCTATATGTGATTAGCAGCTAAACCGAATTAGGATAGATTTCATGCTTCTGTGACCTTCCAGAACCCCCATACAGAAAAAGAAAAACACCTGTAGCTAAATTTTTTTTTTTTTTTTATTTTTTTTTTGCTAAGGGGTAAAAGTGCCCGACTAC